TTGACTGTGTTTGTTCCACTGCTTTTTACTTTTGTCGATTGTTTGTTTACAATGTTTTTATGCATGTTGTGGTTTGCAGTGCAATTATCGGTCGCACAACAAAAGATTTCAAGAAGTACTTGTTCAACTTTATCAAAGTGATGCCACTTGTAAGTTATTTTGCTACTCCTTTTTAGACTCTTCATTAAAATTTTTCTTATCTTTGGTATGAGCCAAATGCAATAACTTTCATCTTTAATCCTGTGTGAGGAGAATTGAGTTTATTAGTGTAGTTTTCTCTTTTTATAAAATACACAATGATCCCCCATACTGCAACTTTAAATAACAGAAGGATGTCAGTTTGAATTTTTCCCCAGTACTCTCTATAATTTATTATATATTTGTATATAAAACCAGATGACTTGAATAATGTGATCCAGGAAGTAATATTAGTACTTAGGGCATGGAAGTCTTGATGTAACCCTGCAGAATATGAAACATCCTTACACCATATAGTTCTTAATAAATATTACATGTACATGCATTATTAAGTAGTTAGTATTATTATAATTTTGCTGCATGTTGTGTGTCAGTATGTTCTGAAAGTAGCTCTTGTTGTTAAACAAGTCACGCAATGGTGCTTATTTGCTTACTGTGTTTAAGCTCATAATTCATAATATTCATCAGTATGCATAAAGGTCAAATTTTCAGTATTATTATATGAATTGTTATTAGACAAACCTAACAGTATTTTGCACCTCTTTTTCTTGTGAGAAAAATTGAGTGAATTGCCATTCCTTGCAGGATTTGGAGTTAAAATCCTAACAACCTTTTTTTGTTCCTGATGCTTTCAGATATCGCTGATAAATAATTTTCTGAAGCTGGGTCTCAATGAGCTCAAACTCCGAATTCGTGTAAGGCTCACCAGACACCTCTACGATGAGTACCTAAAGTAAGTTTTGATGGTAATTTCTGGGCGAATTTTCTAAGTAAGCCGCTTAGGGTCTATTCATAACAAGACAGTCCATGTCACTCCATTAAAATAGTGATGTACTTTTCTCCTCATCTGTAAAACCACAATTAGGATAAATTACATAATGGTCATGTCATTTGTGTGCATTAAATGTTGCAGAAAAGTACCATGAAGTTTTAAGTCAGCAATAGAATAAGCTGTGAAATTCACATTGATGTGACAGAAAAGCAAAGGAAGACCAAATTTTCCACTCAAAACATTATTTTCTGCAAAACACCTATCAGAAGCATCTCTTAAAGAGAGAAGGCACATTTGGCATGGACATGGTCATAATTGGCCAAGTTGGTTTGAAGAATGTGAGTTAAAGGATTAATAAATAAAGACTGTAGGGAGATTACAGCAACCCTCATATTTTAATTAAAGAAAAGGCATCTGTTTAAGCAGTACTTAGCAGTGCATTACAGCAACACAGTGGTACACGTGGATGATGTTCATTTTATACACAGAAACAGAGGTGCCATTTAGTACCACTGTTGCATCTGTAAAAATTAGAAATTACAATATTAAAGGAATATTATGAATCTGATAATAACATCAGATCAGAAATATCCAAAATATATACTCTTTCTCTGACAATAACCTTAAAAATATGAGTCAAGTTGACTTGTACCTACTGTGGGAAATTTAAATGACAAATATCACTACAATACTGTGCTGACACAACAAGATATTGAAAATATCATGTAAAACAACAACACATCACTACAATACTGTGCTGACACAACAAGATATTGAAAATATCATGTAAAACAACAACACATCAGTCCTATGCAACAGAATAAAAGAACATATAAGGGGAAAAGGATGTTTTGAGAGTATTGACTTCTGCCATAGACATAAAACTACCATGACACCTAATTATGAATTTCTAAAAAGGCACTATTAAGACAGAACAGCCTTTCCCACTATGGGTAACTTATGGTATATCTGTAAAACAGACTATACTGTCAGTTACCCAGTTTTGAAATGATAAAGACAGAAGAAAGGTTATAAATGTAAGGATGCCGTATGACCCCATTTAGAAACAATGGCATTATTCTTATTTTCCCTGTGTTTTGAACAGAGGGTATACCTACTACAAAATGGGTAACCTAGACAACAGGATAGCCAATGCAGATCAGCTGCTAACCCAAGATGTGGAGCGGTTCTGCAACAGTGTTGTGGACTTGTATTCCAACTTAAGCAAGGTAAAGTCTTCTTTCTCATCTCTTGAGTCTTTTTAGCACAGATCACCCTGGTGTGTTAATGTGCTTTTTATAAAGATAACTAAGGAAGTGTTTTTGTCACATTTTTATATTCTGTGCAGTACAAATGAAATACTTCTTAACTGTCATGCAATTTGTCTTTCAGCCTTTACTTGACATATGCTTGTACATCTTCAAGCTGACAAGTGCAATAGGTGCACAGGTTAGTCCTTTAAATTCCATTTTTGTTGACATATTGCAGCATTGATATGCTTAGGGAAATTAATGAGTAAAAGGCATTTTGATATGTTATACATTTTTCTCCCCATATTAAATGAATACTTTCAAACCGTTCTAGTTCTGCCTTCACATTTCGATACTTCTGCTCATAATGTTTGTTTTTAGGGGCCTGCTAGCATGATGGCTTACCTTATCGTTTCCGGGCTCATTCTAACACGGTTAAGAAGACCAATTGGGAAAATGACAGTGACAGAGCAGAGATATGAAGGAGAATACAGATATGTCAACTCTCGACTCATCACAAACAGGTTGGTACAGAAACTCCGTTAAGTGCATACTGTACCAGCTTGGATCAGAGACTGTGTTGTGATCACGGTATTGCATAAACGGCATGTTTTATTTTTACTTTGCAGTGAAGAGATTGCCTTCTACAATGGGAACAGAAGAGAAAAACAAACGATACATACAACCTTCCAGAAACTGGTAAGAAAACTCCATCAGCACTAAGATGCGGGTGGACAACACCATTGCAGTTGTTTGAGTCTTTTAAAAAAGTCATCCATTTTTATTGACCTAACATTTTTATCACCTCTGATCGACTGAAAAACAAAAAGCAGTATTTTCCATCCATTATCAGAAGCTCCCGGTATGGGTTTGATCATCCATAGCCATTTTGGAAGTATAGGACACAAGGAAAGGCTACAACCTGGATGGAAATCCATTCTTTCACATAATTCACACACAAGCAGTGTGGAGACATTTGCTAATCTAGCCAGTGTGTCTAAGGTAGGAGGAAACTGGAGCACACGTAAAACTACTTAAAGAAGGTCTACACATGCATGTAACAGTTTCAATATAAAAGTCAGGACCCAGGATCTCTGAGGCCACCATACTGCCTCAAAAATGATCATTGTATTCGTAGAAAATTGCACAGAATAGATATTTGAATGTTATGCATTATGGCATTCGTAATTGATTAAAAACTAAATTAAAGTATAACCAAAATGAACATGTTTTTATACAGTATGTGTGTTGTAGGTGTTTTTTAAAGTGTAAATACCAGCGGCATTTGTTTCATTTCTAGGTTGATCACTTGCACAACTTCATCTTCTTCCGTTTCTCTATGGGGTTTGTAGACAGCATAATTGCTAAGTGTAAGTAAAGCATTTTCTGAGAATTTTATTATTGCAGTGAGTCTAGAAATGTCTATTTTGTGTTATAATTTGGAAAAAAGTGTCTAATTAACATCATGTACTGCAGTGTATGAAACAGGCAGAGCAGAGGTGTCTACTTCTTTGTGGTCTTGGTAAGATTCAGTCTAGTCCAGTTTTCTAAGTAGCCATTAAATTGTCTACCTCAGATTAAATAGCATATTTAAATGTAAGAATTAAGCAGTTGATTGGTTAAATTAAGTGATTTAGAGGTCATGCAAAGCAAAGCTTAGAAGACACTTTATTCTGCATGAGCAAGAATTGCTTTAATAGTGTTACTTGTGACATAGGCACCATCTCCTTAGATGCTACTGTATGTGTGTTCAAGCACCCCCAATATTTTAATTGTTGATGCAGGGGTGAATGCATTTTTATCTTGTATATTTTCAGAGATTACTGTAACATTATACATGAACAATTACTGCAGTAATGATTCCATCTTATCCCAGATTCCACAGTCTACTCCGTTGAATGTTAATTCATTATTATTCAGTTGATTTGTGAGCATTTATTGAGAATGGATTCAACACATGGCATCATGCAATAGAAAGGTTTAGAAAGTGCGATCAGCCTGTCACTACAAAACCTCTAGCAAAATATGCAAAAGATAAAACTAAACTACAGCATTTCCGTGCTCAGTATTAACAGAGATTTTGTTTAACTGGACAGTGAAGAGCTCTGAAGGCCTCACTAGGAAGTTCCACATTGTAAAAAGTAACACATTCTCAAGAAATGTTTTGTTAATGAGAGCACATTTAATGATGAACATGATCAATCATTTTGAAAAGCTGGTGCCTGTGACTTTGTTTAATTGATCAGTAGCTGACAAGTGATTTTAGGTCACCTTTAAGATTTAGAGGATTGGAACTCTCCAGGACTGGGATTTGACAGATTAGTTATGTGAGAGATGTAATCTGGTTTATGTTATTTGCAGAAGCATAATGATCCTTCTTTTTCCTGACACCGACAGCATTTGTTCTGTTGTTGACGAGTTTGTTCCTGTTTAGATCTTGCTACAGTGGTTGGTTACCTAGTGGTGAGCCGGCCATTCCTCACTCTGTCCCATCCTCGCCACCTGAACAGCACCCATGCAGAACTCCTGGAGGTGAGAGCTTCCAGCAAACTTGCCTGACCATTTCCTTCATTGTAAAAGGAGAGAAATGCACTTAATAATAATTCCTTACATTTACAGTATATAGTGCATTTCTAGACACTCCACTTAAAGCGCTTTACAAGTAATAGGAACTCCCCTCCACCTTCATCAATGCGTAGCCCACACCTGGATGATGCGATGGCAACTAAAGTGTACCAGTACGCTCACCACACACCAGCTATCAGTGGGGAGAAGAGCAGAGTAAAGAAGCCAATTCATAGATGGGGATTATTAGGAGGCCATGATTGGTAAGGGCCAGGGGGAAGTTTGGCCAGGACGCAGGGGTAATACTGCTACTCATTTTATGAAATGCCCGGGCCTTTTTAATGACCACAGTGAACCAGCATTTCAGTTTTACGTCTCGTATGAAGGACGGCACCTTTTTGCAGTATAGTGTCCCCATTACTATAGTGGAGCATAGGACCCACACAGACTGCAGGATGAGCACTTCCTATTGGTCCCACTAACACCTCTTCCAGCAGCAACCTTAGCTTTCCCAGGAGGTCTCCCATCCAGGTACTGGCCAAGCTCACACCTGCTTAGCCTCAGTGGGTTGCCAGTTGTGAGTTGCAGGGTAGCTGTTAGCTGGTAAGTAACTGTTCAGTTGGTTTAGAAAAAAATGCTTATTTCATTCCACTTGATAAATTGTCAATAAAAATACCAGTAAGCAGTGTTATTGCAATGTATACATACAATACTAGTGTGTAAGTATATACTGTACCAATAAGGGTGAATGGGAAATATGAATCCCCTGCACGTTTCCTGTGGTGGAAAACGATATGCCAACATTCAGATTTCTGTATCTTCTCAATCCTGTTGAAGGAATAATCCATTTATTTGTCTACTGATTTTGTTTCTAAAGGACTACTATCAGAGTGGTCGAATGTTGCTGCGGTTGTCCCAGGCTCTTGGTAGGATTGTCCTCGCTGGAAGAGAGATGACAAGATTATCAGGGTAATTAAGTTTGTCTCTCCACACTGAAGTTTTTGTCAGAACCTTATGACGTTCCAAAAAATTGCAAAAAGCAATTGAAGTTAATGTTTAATTAAATTTTATAACTTTGTACTTCAGATCAAGTTAATGTATTTTACACATCAAATCCTAATAAATAAAAGTATTATTTAACTTATTTAGCATTGGTAATATTCTTGTCACATGATTTGTTTCTAAGGTTTACAGCTCGCATCACGGAATTAATGAAGGTTCTCAAGGACCTGAATTCGGGCAAATATGAGCGAACAATGGTTTCTCAAGACAAAGGCAAGTGTGTGTGATACAATAGAAGTCCAAACAATTACACAACACACCCATGCAACTACAGTGCGTCTTGTAATTTTCTTTCTCTATGGCAACTGTTTGGTGGTTTGACTTTTCAAATAATTCATGTAAGCAACCACAAATAAGATGGCTAAAAGTAAATCTGGCTCATGGCATAAGAAATGTAATATGTTTTGTAATACTCTGTAGCTTGTTGTAACACATCACATTGTAACACATCACAATTAATTACTGAGACTTTTTTCAGTTACACTTATTTCAAGGATTTCAGTGCTGTGTTGTAGTGAAAGAAGATGTGAAAGCTACCAATTTCAAATGTTTACTTCAACAGAATCAGAAGGCTTGCAAAAAATCCCCCTGATTCCTGGTAGCGGAGAGATTATCAACGTTGACAAGATTATAAAGTAAGTCTCCAGATCAAATCAAACAGCAAGTTTAATTTGTTGATTTTCGTTTTGTCTGAAGTCCATTTTATTGCCAATGTTAAACCTGTACTCCAGGCATTTCAGTTAATTTTATTGAGCTAATTGTAGCCAAATACGAGAAGGGTTATAAATGAAAGAGAGTTATTCAGTTGATCTTGCTCATTGGTTAGTTCATTAATTGATACATGGTTTCATATATCCATTTCTTCAAACATCCCACAGAATTGGCCTCAGTAATAGAACCTACTACTAATTTGAGCCTACTACTTTCATTTCTAAAAGCATTTCCCTTTAATTTCCACTTGTGTTCTTGAAAAGGAAAACAGCATTAATGACACTGTGATTATTCATGTGGATTGCCAGTAGAGATATTGATTTATTTCAAACTTTCATTTTTCCCAGGCAGATTGTTCACCGACTTACTGAGTATTTAAGAATAATGTATTACCATGCAAGAACTTTTTTGGTTATCTAGAAAAATAGATTCAAAGTAAAGTTGTGTGACTATGTGTGTTTTAGGTTTGATCATACACCATTAGCAACACCTAATGGAGATATTCTGATCCGAGACCTGTCCTTTGAGGTGTGAATGTTTGTTTCTGTTCTTTATACATGTTTTATTGTTTATTTTTAAATAAAAAAAGTATACTAATTCAGTATGACTTGAGCAGTGTATATCAGATGTCAAAAGGCCTGTATTTTATTTCCTCAGTAAATGTGTAAAGCTAAAGAAAATAATTAAAAAAGCATAATCCATTGTCTTAAATTTAGTCTTCTAAGGAGTGATATTTCACATTTTTAAAAACATCACAAAAAAAAAGAGACAGTTCTGTCTGTAAATACTTCACATAATAAAGTTTGCAGGATTGAAGCTATTTATGCTTACTGTAACATTCAGTATTAAGTTCAGAATTATTATTAATTATTGCATTTTTTATAAAGGTAAGATCCGGAACAAATGTTTTGGTCTGTGGTCCCAATGGTTGTGGCAAGAGCTCACTTTTCCGTGTTCTTGGAGAAGTAAGTATTGTAATACGTTAAAAGGTTCGGTTTTAATAATCCAGACTTAACTGGGTTAGGTGTACATCACTGTATAGCATTGTGTATCATGGATTAATAATATCAAAATCTTGCTGTTTTTCCTAGCTGTGGCCTTTGTTTGGTGGGCGCCTCACCAAACCTGAAAGGGGGAAGCTTTTTTATGTTCCACAGGTAAAAAACATTTCTGTAGTAGCCTATCGAAAGTTTTGTATCCCTCCAAGCCTCTGTCAAGCAAGATTAATCTTATTTAAAATGCAGTTTATTTTTTAGTTTGTTGATCATTATTAAGTATTGCCTTGAGCTACTTTGGGGAGCTATGTTTGAAATTAGGTTTTAGTTCGTATTGCAATATGCTGTTAACTACAAAAGATACTAAATGCAAATATGGTTATCAGTGTATTTATCCTGAATATGTACTGGACGTCAGAATTTACAACTAGTCTTTACTGTTATAGAGGCCATACATGACCCTTGGCACACTACGAGATCAGGTGATCTATCCAGACACCCAAGAAGACCAGAAACAGAAAGGGATTTCTGATCAGGTACTGGATCCCTAAAGGACTGGCTATCAGAAAGCAGAAATATGGACAACGATGTTCTTCAGTGAAACTGCACTGTTTGCTGTTGAGTGGCATGATGCCATATGGCACTTGCCTAGATATTTCAAAATTAAACTTGCTACATCTCCCTGCTTGGCTGTGAATTTGTACTGAAATGTTCTGTACAGTTCTAAAAAATCTGAAACTGTAGGACAAGATCATTGTAGTTAAAACTTTCAATAATTGTATTTAATCTATAGTTAAATTGACAATCAGCTTGCTTTTTTGTGTTTTAAACCATTTCATACCTTCTGTAAGAATTTTCTTTATAAATATGATGTATGGATGAATGAGTGATTTGAAAACGTGATGTATTGATTTATTGTACCGGTTTGTTTGTTTGTCTCCTCTGTGTGTGCTGTGCAGGTATTGAAGGAATATCTGGACAATGTCCAGCTGGGACACATCCTTGACAGGGAGGGAAGCTGGGACACTGTGCAGGATTGGATGGATGTTCTCAGTGGAGGAGAGAAGCAGAGGATGGCTGTAAGTTATGTAGCTCTATAGTATGTTCTCTTTCTAAAATGTACAACAATATAACATATACGATTCCTTGCAAAAGCATACAAGACAGTGTTCTCCAGAGATAAGGTATTCGACCAGAAAGGGTGAGTAGGAGAATGAACTTATTGAGCCAAATGGCCGGATATCACTGGTTCAGGGCTGTACCATTGGGGTAGAACTGGGAAACTGGCTGTATGACAAAGAAGCAAATGACTCTTGCAGATGGGTGTCAGAAAGTTATGTCGGCAGGTTCTCAGTTTCCTGTACAGCAAAGTAGTTGTACTGTAGCTGTAAAACTCAGTCTTAAAAATAAGCGATTCCAAACTGGGTAGATAATAGTATAATCTAATTTAAAGAAAATTCGAAGGTAATCATCACATAAGACACATTGCACAAGTTTGAGAGAATAAGGTATTTTTGTGACTAGCTTTTTAAATGTGTTCCACTGCTCTTTAGTTCAAGATACATGCATGCTTATACATGCTTATATAGCATGTTAGTTTATAAGTCTTCTTTATCAATATGTTTTATTCCCCAGATGGCCCGATTATTTTATCACAAGCCTCAGTTTGCCATCTTGGACGAGTGTACTAGTGCTGTAAGCGTTGATGTGGAAGATTACATCTACAGCCACTGCAGAAAGGTAATAACATGCCACTGATTGATACCTTTAGTGTACACTAGTTTTATGAAATAACAGCCTAGAATGGTTTCTGGGGATACCTGGATCATGTTATTTTAACAGTCAGATTTTTGATTTCCTATAAACTAGTTTAATGTATGTGAATACAATAAACTACTAGTTAAAAAATGTTTTTTCTCCTAACTTTCAGGTTGGCATCACCTTGTTCACAGTCTCTCACAGAAAGTCCCTCTGGAAACATCATGAGGTAAAACATTAAATCATTAAAGTTAAATTCTTAATGAAAACTATGTTCCTACAAAGAGAAAATATAATCTATTTACAGTTTGCTTAAATTTGTGTTTAGCATAAAAAGTATCCATATAAATGATCCCCGTGTACAGAAGAAAATTGATAATAAGTTCACACCTGCCAGTATTGAGCACTTAAAATATTAGATGTTAAATCTAAATTGATATCCTTTTCTATTCTTAACACAACATAAAACTAAAAAAGTCATCTGTTAATAGGAATGTTTTTTACAGAAAATGAGGAAATGTATGGGTGTTTTGCTTGCCCGAAAATAATGTTTATTTGATTATTCTGAGAGCTATTGCAGAAGGTTCTGAAGATATTTTCTTTTCCTGTGACAGTTTTACCTGCGCATGGATGGAAGGGGAAACTATGATTTCAAGCCCATCACTGCAGATACTGTGGAGTTCGGATCATAAAATAAAACAGAAATAAGCAAATATGCTGTGTCTAAAGATCTCAAGTAACACTGCACTAAAAATAAGTCAAAAATAATAATTGTTTTTAATAATTTGTAACTTTTGTCAGTTTTCATGATGCTGTATGTACAAATCTGGAAGTCAAATTAATCTGTAGTATGTTGCTAATAATTGTATATTTTGTTAAACTGTAATTAGTACATAACTTCCAGGCAATATGTAGAGAAGCATTAATAACAATTAAGATACAGGAAAACTGAGGTTAAGTAAGATCTTAGTCATTAAAAAATATATTGCCCTTACAGTTCCTTCTATGAGTTAGATTTACGAAGCACAAGTTGGGACCTTCTAACTTGTCTTACCAGAACGTTTTACTTTAATCCTATTCCGTTAAATGTTTTCTAAATGTGAACCTCCATTTTTTTAAACAGAAAAACAAGAAAACTGCTCAGTTGGTGCCTGACATTGTAAGTGTTCAGCATATTGTAATCATCACAAGGCAATTTTGAAATGTAAAAATTAAGATATATTTACCTTTATAAAATTAATGGGTTTTTTTTTTATAGGACAATGGTAACATCAGAATGCACTACTTAATGGCATGCACTTGGGTCTGAAATACTGTAATTTGAACTGTACATTTTCATTAAAAAATGTAAATGACTGATTCCTTTGTATTTCTGGGGAAGTTTAAAGGTTGCATTTTCAAATTTTCATTTGAAGGTGGAATTGTGGCCAGCATTGCTGCCTCACAGCTCTAGGGTCCTGGGTTAGATTACATCTTGGGATGCCTGTGTGCTTTGAGTTGGCATGTTCACACAGTTATCATGCCAGTTTTTTTTCCAGATGCTCTGGTTTCCTTCCTATAACCAAAGACAAGAAGTGTAGATCTGAATGGTTACTTTGAATTCAGGGGAAATTAATACAGTGCTTTTCCCAGTATGAAGAATACTGTCTGTGGGACTAAAAAGAAACAACCAAATGAGTCCAATAAGCATGAGCATAATGTTAAATGAGAGCAGGCGTTTTAGCCTAATATAAAACAACTTCCACTTGCTTATAATTCAGGGGGATTAGATGTAAGGTTATTTAACTCTAAGGAAACTAAGTGAAGGTTCATCTACTTTTTCCTTACTCTCTCTTACCGACATTTAAAACATCAAGGTGATATACCTTTAGTCATTTATTAACCTGTGAATCAATACAATTTGATCGGTCACTTATTATTCTGGGGCATTTGTTTTTCAGTTTTTATGTACGAATGGCATACAGTTGTTACCCAGATTTCTTAATAATAATAATAATAATTGCTTACACTTATATAGCGCTTTTCTGGACACTCCACTCAAAGCGCTTTACAGGTAATGGGGACTCCCCTCCACCACCACCAATGTCCAGCATCCACCTGGATGATGCGACATAAGATAAAAAATATATAACTGAAATCTTAAGAACATAAATGTCCATTTATCATGTCAATAAAATTCCTCCTGCTGTTGAGTCGTTCTGCAGTTTAGCTCTGAAATGCTGTCTAACCAGGAAGGTATCCAGGTGCTATGATTTCTCTAATTTTGCACAGCCTCCAAAGTGAGTCAGTGAGTTGTAAATAATATGGTTCATCCTATTTGCTGTGATCAGTGAGTCTTAAGAAACTAAAAAGTTTCAAAATGTTGTAATGGACAAAAGCAAAGTTTGGTATTCAGAAAAATTGGCTACCGTGAGGTTAATCTCATTTTTGAGTTTAAAGTTTTTCTTTTACTGATGCCAGTGTACGCATAGATTTGTGTGTTGAAATGTTGATGTATTAAATATATACATACAATATTTATATTTCACAGAATGAACAGGTAAAACAATCTAAAAATATAACTGAAATCTATGGTTTAAAGTTTTTAAGACTTCACCTTCTGGATAAAGTGTTCAGATAAACTTATTGCACCCTGCCCTTTTCAATAATATTGTCCTAATATTTTTAGATCCACTCTCCGGGTGATAGGGACAAAACCTCAGCAATAAAGTCTAATGAGCTTTAAGGTCATTTTTTTGCGGAGTTGATTTGTTTGGTCTTATCTATTTGCTTTTTATTTCATTTTCTGAACAAACCAGGAAGTGCACTGAACCACAAAACTGTTTCCTGTATGTGTTCTTAAAGGAAGAGAAAGATAACTTTTTAACTTTTTGTTTAGAAACATTAAACAGGGATTTTTTTATATTAACAAAACTTCAAAACCTAATGGGAAAAGTGACCTGTCTTCTCCTGGTGTGTCTGCAGGCCATACTGTCCAATTGTCAGTCAAAGGAGAATGGTAAGTGTAAAGGAACGTTTTTATAAGAGGGTGTATGTTTTACTATAGCTAGGATCCATGTTTGATCTATGCTATCTCAAAAACATTTGATTTAATCTTTCTGAATGCGCACCTTAACACATTGACAAGGATATTTACTGGAAATGAAGTTGCTGATAAAAGCTTCTAACATGAGAATGTTAATGCTGGAAATCCAGAAGTTTGACTTTTTCTAAAGACCGTGTGCTGCGCTTGTAGTTTTCATTGTCTTTATCTACTTTATCTCAATAGACCACTTTATCTATTTTACTTTATCTGGCTCTTTTCTTTAACTTCTTCCCTAGATTATCTGCGTTTTGTTGCCATTGGAGACTGGGGAGGGTCACCAGACTCCCCATTCTTCACACCCCTTGAGAAAGCTGTAGCTGCTGAAATGGGGAGAGTAGCTCAAACTGTGGGCTTGGACTTTGTCCTCAGTCTCGGAGATCACTTTTACTACCAAGGTGTGAAGGACATTGATGATTTCCGTTTTAAGGCAAGGTTTAAGCAAATTAAACTACATTTTTCAGAACTCTTTTTGTAAGCTTCTCAATTCTGCTCTGTTTGCTAATAGCATTTTCTTTTTCATTCAGCATGGTTGAAAGATCAGCTTTGTCTGTGATGCTGGACAAAAACATTGCGCTTTTTTCTCCTTTTGAATGTCATTCACAGAGGCAGGTATCAGAGACAAAAGACGATGACAGAGTCAATCTTTTTGTACTTCTTTGGGCAAAAGCTAGCAAAATATTTCAGAATTTCCCAAGAAAAGCAGATATTGTGCAACTTCCTTGTAGAGTAGACAGAAGGCATGTTTTGACAAAATGTTAAAGTTAATGTGACATTATATGGGTCATATTTTTTAATTATACTGAATTGTGACCAGTTGTCTAAATGTAATTAAGAGTCAGATTTAAATGAGGAGCTCTCCATCTTGTGGTCAAAATTAGAAGTGCTTTTAAATTGTGTGAGTAAAAGGTAAAGCAAAATCTGATAACAAATAAACATTCTCAACCACACATATACAATACAAACATGTATTTCATCGTTCATATTTTTTTTCCAGCTGTCTGTCCACCTCTAGTCTAGTTTAGCTAGTCTAGCTGTGCACCTCTGTCTATCCATCTCTGTCCACCCGTCCCCCCGTCCACCCATCCACCTTTGTTCATAGTTCATAGTTGTTATGTTAATCATTGCCTTCTTTTTTTCTGTTCAGGCTACATTTGAGAATGTGTTTGCTGACCCTTCCCTTCTTAGCGTACCTTGGTATCTGGTGGCAGGAAATCATGATCACTTGAGAAATGTGACAGCTCAGGTTGCTTATTCCAAGAGATCCAAAAGATGGTAAGGCACCCCCTGAAGGCTTTAACGAAAGCAAACACTTAAAGAGCCTCCTTATCAGAGAGTTTTTAGCTGTGGAGTCCAGCAACCCTCTTTATCACAGTGTTTTCGTGGGGGAGGCCATTGACAGGACATGCCACATCAAGTCTTTTCTGCTGAAGCAAGGAAGGAATTCACAAACAAAAAGAAAACATAGCTCAGAAGCATGTCAGAGTCATCCTTTCAACTTTTCTAATGCATTGGGATTATTTACAAAGCTCACTTGGTTCTTTTCTCGTATTAGAGTTGATAAGACCTTTTCTTTCAGAGAATAAAAACTAAAAATGTTAAAAGATAAGACATTTATCTAAAATATTTATAAATGTATGCACATTCAATGCCTTGCAAAAGTATTCACCCACTTTTCAATAATGTCCTATTCCGTTGCATGAAAAAAAAGATCTTTAAAGTGAATATTTTGAATCCAAACTTGAAGTCCAAATCAAAATATGTAGATTTCCTAAATATTTACCCTGTTTGCTCTGGCAAACTAAAATTAGTTCAATTGTACAAATTTATGTTGACAGACCCAACCATTAGTTGAATGTTTTCTGTCTGTGTGCAATAAAAGTGGTATAGATGATTTCAGAATAAATATAAACATCTGAGTATGGATTATTTGTAATCAGACAAATAAGGCATCATGGGAAGGGGGGTGAATACTTTTGCATGGTACTGTATGTCTTGGCCGCCAAAGTGCCATTCTAATTTTGACACTGTCTTTACAATCTAGGAATTTTCCTGAGCTCTACTATGACTTGTACTTCAAGGTTCCCCACAGCAACACATCTGTCACTATCCTACTGATCGACACAGTACTACTCTGTGGTAACACCTATGATGGGATACAGCCCGAGAAACCTGAAAATCATGAGGCTGCTGCAAAGCAATTCATATGGATTAAGGAAAAACTGGAGAAATCCAAGTAAGTTGTTAGTGAATGAGTAGACTACAGTATATTTGTTGGTTATTAGTTTTATTTAACAGGCAGGTAAGTACTGGTACTGGTATGTAACCTTCTTCTCACTAAACATCCCAAACACAATTGAAGGGATAAGCACATTTTTGAGGTGTTACAGTATGTAAAGTTTTGTGTTCATAATTGTATCTTGATCGTCCAAAGTAAAATTAAATGTGAAAGCCGGCAACACATTTTTCCTGACTGTGTAGAAAAGTATGTGTGGATTCTGGATATTGTTTTTAAAAGCAATGACCTGCTATAGTGACCAAACTCCTACTGGGCAACACCCAGATCGTCTTTCACATTCTTGTGAGGGTCTTTGGTTCAATTAAAGTCCAATAAAAACATTCACTGGTGGTTCCAGGAACTATAGAGAATACAATACTATAAATGTATATTTATGGTTAAATGTTTTTTTTTTAAGTTTTATTTCACAGCATTCCTTTCTAATCAAAATTGTTTTGATTAACTTTGATCCAAAGTCTAATGAAATTGAGTTCTTGGTTCAGCCACTTCATCTCATAACTGGGTAAATGTCGAAATTTGGCATCCCCTAATTTTTAGTGTGTTTCAGGTCTGAGTTCCTTATTGTGGCTGGTCACTATCCTGTGTGGTCAATAGGACACCATGGTCCGACACAATGCCTGGTGGAGCAGTTGAGACCTCTGCTGAAGAAACACAATGTAACAGCCTACCTCAGTGGCCATGATCACAGCCTGCAGGTAGGAGTTCAGAGCATTCTTTATGTACTGTACAAGATACAGTTAATGCTTGAAGAATGTGCATTAGGAAAGTACCAAAACATGTATCAGGAACACATCCATACTTTCAGGGTCTAGTGGGTTGAGCTCACTCTCTTTTCATATATCTTTCTGTTTATTGTATTTTAAAGGACAAAATGAACTTCCATATATATATATATTTAAATTCAAATTTAAATTCAAATACTGATGTCTGACTTTGATACTTCATACTTCATTTCATTTATCAATGTAAAAATGTATTATGAAAAAGGCAATATTTAAAAGGATCAAGTGGGTTTTGTTTAGGATGAGCAGTGTTAATTATAATTTAGACCAAGTCTCTTTTATAGGTAGAATTATAAAATAGAAAGTACAAACTCCTCATGTTATAAAAAAAACCTTTCAAATATCTGAAATGTGTACCTTGAATGGTTTGTGACGCTTCCTCAGTTTTTTTATGTCAAAATAAATAAAAAAAGTTTTAGGAATACAGCAATCAATCAGTAGTGCAGAATTCTATTTTTTGTTAATAGAAGTTCTAAAAATAGGTTTGGATAATTCTGCTCATCTGGAGGAAAACTTAAAAAGTACAAAGATGTTTATTTTCATAATCCATTTTCTGTATATTTCCAGTTTATCCAGGAAGATAATGGTATGGCATACATTGTCAGTGGAAGTGGGAATTTCGTTGATATGTCAATCTACCACAAGAACAAGTTTCCTCACGCTTGGCAGCTATTCTCCAGTGCTGTAAACAACACATTTGGGGGATTTGCCTACTTCACAGTCACAAAAGAAAAAATGTTCATCAATTACATTTCAGCAGCTGGAGAAGGGGTGTACCAAACATCTCTGTCAAAGCGCAGCGCCGAATGGACTGTATAAACTGGGCAAAGACTGATCGGTTCTTCCTACCTTGATTTTTAATTTTATGATCAACCAAACAACGTATGGAACCTTTTATTTTCTCTGTATAGCAATATATAAACTTTTTCTTAGCTAAAAAAAATCTTCACGTGGGCTTTTTATTGAAATGCTGAAAATCAAAAGTGTTAAAGTTTTACCCGACCCCACGCTACCATGACGGTTTAATTCATTTTGAAAGTGTTTGCAAAAGAAGCTAAATTATCTATCAAACACAATACACGGTCTTTAGCAAAAGTCAAAACAGCTGTTTTTTTTTTTCTTAACAGCTATACTGTTCTTCCTAAACAAGTGGGTATTACCATCGCTAAAATGTATTTACAATGTATTTTACAATGTATTTTTTTCAGTCTGAAATTCTAAGTTAAATTGTTCAAATAAAACATTTTTTGTTATTTTCTGAAGCAAACAAAAGTTCTCCCGTACCTTCTTTGACGAAGTGAATCAAGTGGTTTTAATCTTTATTGACCCCAAGGTGGCAGCAGTGAGTCATTTTTGAGCGGCATCAAGCTCTTGCTACGGAAAGGCCGATACCCATTCCGAGTAATGAGACTATAACTCCGTTTACAGTACCATTAACAGAATTTTAACAGAATACGTTTTTTTTTTCACAGTCGAAATAGAAAACCGAATGTTCTTCCAAATCCAGTTTAACAGAGAATGATATGATGTCTGCTGATGTCTCTGCTTTCAAGGCTTGAAATCTTACATTTTGCTTTTGCGAAATAAAAATACGGGGAATATTTTTTTGGAAAGCATAATGTATTCAAATATTTTTTCTAATGCTATATTCTTAGAGATATGTCTTTATGAACACACAGAAAGCATACAATATTGGAAGTAATGATGGGAAAATAGAATGCCTTCACATTTAAAAATGAAACGCACTTTAGTACCGTCATGTCTGAACTTAATGCACAATGGCTGGTATACCACACCCATATTAAAAACTACGTATTTACTGTATATACAGTACAGTAGGTATTAATCCCACTGTATTGTGGTGCAAGATTTCTGAAAGGAAATATGCATGTCATCGATCATGTATAACAACCAAGAAAAAACAACGTTTTAGCGCAGGCTACTTAATTTCTCAGATTGTAATCCAATTACTTGTTCAGCATGAGCTGTGTGCCAGTTTTCTGATGAACGTTTGTGAGTCATACAGTTGAGGAGTGCTCAAAGCAGAGACCCAATTCTCCCAAAGTGATCACAAGCAAATGTGTGTAAACATTAGGTGCACTATCTGATAGATGGCAATGTAACAGGGGGACCTAGTTACAAGTATGAGTGCAAAGATGACCTGTCTGGTTCAAAGGTTGCACTATGGATTTAGTAGACTGGTGTTAGAGTTACTCGAGTGTTAACACACAACTGGCCAGACTCTGCTAGGTTTTGGCACATGTGAGACAAGCATACTGGACGCAGTGACTCCTGTGACTTTGTAGCTACTCGGAGCTTGTGGTTTTCCTAATGAGAGCCCCATCATTTCTCCATGCAGTTCTACTGCACCTGTGATTCTCATCCCTCTTTTGTTAGCAGAAGGAACATAGCAGTAAAAGTAAAAATGAATGGTTTATTCATTGCCGATTCCAAATTGTAGAACTACTGTAGGTAGGACCAAAGTAAAATTCCAAATTAAAAACCAAAAAAATCCCAAATTATAAGGGTCTTTCAAAGCTTTCTGCTCCAGAGCATTTAAGTTATTTTGGATGTAAAAGTTGATAGATCCAAATTGAGCAAAAGACATTATACTGTAATTATAGAAAAGAGAAGTAAGAGACTGTATTAAGTACAATGATAGAACTGGAGTGTGAGTTGTTGAATCACATAAATATATAATTGCAGTATAAATATATAATTTTCATACAAAAACTATCAAACAAAGAAATCATGTTTAAATGAGTATTTATTTATACTATTTGATTAACGTCAAAATGCGAAGATTTTTTCAATGAAGAAAATAACTTTACTTTTTAGAAATACACAATAGTATGTACAAGTCGTCTCTTACAGTTGCTGGATTCCTATCTAGATTAAGATGAAAAGGTAAACAACAGCAAATTCTGCAGTTTATTATAAATCTTTATAAAAAATAGAAATATATAATAACACCAAATATACAAAAAATACTATATTAATATTAACAAAGCATAAATTAACACCCCATAAAGCCATTTATAAATATTGTACTACAGTATATATATATAAACCGATTCTGAAGTAGTATTCCAAAGTTATTACAACAGATGTAGTGCATTTTCAATTAAAAGGGGAAGATAATGATTTCTATAAAAAAACAAAAGTAGTTTACAGTTAAAATCATAGTAGTGCTTTGCTCCCATATAAAGTACCAGCAATCAACATGTAGAAGAAATACATTATTTTCTACAAAAACACCCCCAATTAATAATAAAAACGAAACAGTATGTGTAACATATCTAAAATGTAGTGTTTCATAGAAACTAAATTAGTTATTCCAGTGTTTAACAGAGGAATGCTGAATTGGGATTCATACTCCTGTTTCCTCCTTTTGCAAGAGTTTTTAGTTCTGGGTCCAAGTGTTTTGATGTACCCTGTTTGATTCCATTTCAACACATTCAGCCTTTGTCCTTAAACATTTCTTAATGACATGCCTTCTTTGTCTGGTCCTCCACTGCCATTTTGACTTCGTTTGCAAAGGATCACAACCAGAGCGATAATAAGTATAGAAATAATTATCACTGTAATTATGACCGCTGCAATCACACGAATTCCATACTCTGAAAAAAAAAGTTCAACAAGACTGTTAATTGGGTGACACAGGGTTTGTGTATCCTTCTTAACTCTTTCTTAGTCTCTTGTAATATTCAGGAACAGTCCTTTGGAACTAATTTTCACATTATACTGTCATGAATCATAAGAAATGGCATCTTATGCCACAACAAACTGTCCAGTGCTCCTAACTCTCTTATTCTTATCATACTAATATACACAATAAACAGGTACTAATGGTTTATTGAGTAAAATAATCTACATAGCAAGTATATTAGCAGATACAGTAGCACAGAGCTCGTAATCATGACATTGCATGGTAAAACCTACTAAGGTTAGGAAGCTCTACATTCAAAAGGTTAGATCAGAAAATAAACACGGAGAGGATAATTAAGACTCTGCATGGCCCTTCATGCATTGTGAACTATTAAGTAAGCATCTTCGACTTGCTTAGTAAGGTAAATCCAGACTAAATACTTTCAGTTAACCCGACACAGAGAATTGCCTGGTTTTAAAATCAAAAATAGTTTTAGGAAAAGGATTCATAAATATAAATCATACTCTACCTTCGAAAAAGGATTTTTCCCCTGCTGGAGAGCACTTAAGTTGGCTGAGCTCACCCAACTGTTTTCCATATACTCGAGTAGGGATATAAGCTTGAACGTTGAAGCAGTAACTTTTACCACGATCCACTTTGAGTTCAAAGGTATTGCTTTTTGTGTGTTCTTCTTTCTGCAGATTTAACATGTTTAAGGCCGTTAGACACAACTTGTGATCCTTTATCTTTGCTAGTGTTAACAAGAAAGAAAATGAAGAAGCTATTTGAGGGGAACCATTTGAAAAGACCTGGTACTAGTTTTGGATGATGATAGTAGTTTTGTATACTTCCCATAGTTTGTCTTCAGAGAGTAAATGCTATTTATGTACTTTTTCCAAATAGTGCCAAAGGATGTTTATTAGATCATTACTCATATTCCTCATTAAAAAAAAAACATGATGTCAGTGTGAAAAGGCACCACCTGGGATACTGGAACATAAAATAGTTCACCTCTAGTCTGATTATCCTCATGCAAAAATGAAAATACAGAATTGTCTTCTAATTATAATACTGATTTCAAGCTAATTTCTTGCTACTTATATGGTTAAGTTTGAATACTCACTTTTCCAGTGCTTTCGGCTTTTTTGTAGATAATTTTGTATTGCAGGTCACCATTGAAAATATCCCTCATGTTGAGAAGCCTATTTCCACTGCTGACTGCAGAAATTGGGTCCTTTATGTGTAATGTAATCTTGTCTTTTGCTTCATTCACTTCAACATCAAAATCAGGTCTCCCAATTATTGCTTAAATGAGAATAGAACAATTTAATGCTAATAAAATACAACCCATCATTTCATGAAAACCTACTCCTGTTCGTACAAGATAAAGAGATCCATAACAATTATCCATCTTTATTTTTAAAGTCTCATCACATTAGATGAAAAGCCCTGTATTTTGTCAAAATGATAACATCACCTATATTTGCCTGCAATATATTTTTAAATGTACTGTAATGTACAGTGGAAACCTGCATTCAGTTCGAGTTCAGGTTTTGACTGAGCTCAGGTCTTAACTTTAAGAAGTACTCAAACCACGTATACAAACAAAATGAAACACACATTTAGTGTATATATCATACAACATTAAAACTGTCAGCATGCTGTGAAAGAAAAGTGATGAAGTACTTACTGTCTTTGTATGGGCAGAACCTTTCTGAGGAGGTGTGAGGGAACTCTACTTGATCAAAAGGCTGCCCTGGAAGTGGCTCAGATATGACATCAGCAATGTACGTTTCTTTCAGGTCCGTCAACTGTCTGGTCAGATCACATTCTACCACATCTTTCTTTATGCAGTTTCGGCTTTTCATTCTATCTTTTCCTAACCTGAAATGTTTAAATATTAAAGGATAATGTTATTAAAATCATTAAAAAATTGTCAAAAATAATCAAAATTAGTACTTGCAGGAGATTTAAAGGGATCATACTGTATGCCTATACCTATCAGTATAATATTAACACCTTTATATACTTGTACCTGACTTGCATAAATTGCTTGCTGGGAAAGGCTCAGCCCCCCTAACCCCAACCCCCCTCCCATGACCCTGAATTGTAAGAAATGATTATAAAATGGATGGATAAACCATTCCTTGATGTAAGGACAGATACTTCTATGCCCCGTCAGTAATGAAGAAATGTCCAGTTCACCAAAAAATAAGTGCAGTCTTTTTAAAGTCTGGGTTCTGTTTCCACCATTCACACAGATCTGATCAACTTTTCCAATACTTGTGTTATGTAAATCACTCAATTATCAGACAAAAAAGATTTACAGTGTAATCATGAGAATATAGCCATCAACTCTTGAAAGACCAAACTGTATTGTAGAATGAGACTTTGCGGTCTCTAGCATAGACACAATCAATATAATTATACAACCAGTTAGAAAAATATACAGACCAGTTAAGGAAAAGATTGAACACCATAGTACTGATCTAACTACATGGACTGTATTAAGCAAAATTTTCTTTAATGATTGCCCAACCACTTAACATGTTTCATATCAAGATTACATTCTTCAATATGACAGACATTTAAAAAGTCTTTAAAATAGCTCTTATTTAAATTATATATATATATTTTAGTAAATGATTTACATGTCTCAAATTCAAGACTCCTCCCCAAAGCAGTCTTCCTCAGATGGATGGAAATATATATCCTATTCTACTAATATTGGTTATATTATTTTTCCATGAATTAACTCTAGTCCAATCTAGTGCTTTCCAAATCAATACTAACAGTGATCAGTTCCAGGAATTCTACCAGAGGATCAATATTGCTATTGCATTACACTAGGATAAAGTTTTTAACATTAATAAATCACAAAGCATTAGCAGACAAAGGATTCTTAACCTCAGATTATTTACATGGCCAATCCAACTATAGATTTCAGTCTGAAGTATTGATTCAGACTAAAATGTACTGTATAATTTAAATATTTTTTGTATTACAGGCTTGAGAACCATGAGATGCCCCATTAAACATATGTACACTACACACGCATTAAAAATGCTTGCAGTTGCCTCTCATATGGTATTGGAACATTCGCTGGTTGTTTCTGAACAAAAACATATATATATATAATCTACATAAATCCCAATTAAAATAGTATAAACATTGGTAAGATCTATTTCAAACCTATGTTAATTTACTTGTTTAGTACAGAAAAATACTCAATACAGATATCTTGTCTATATTTTGCTTAATGTGTCGCTGCATTTGAAACTAAGGGTACAGTATGTACCGTACATTTCATGATGGTAAAATACGTGAAAGATGTACTTTCTTGTACTACATAATAGCAAAACTAGTATTGATTGCATCCAGTAGGAGATCAGTCAGACCCATGTTTGCGAGGAACTTATCTGTTGTTGGGGTTTTTGCTTAAACAGTTAATAAATTACAAAAAAGACGATAGTAACACAATAACTCAATATAAACGTTTACCTAATTCGGATCTTTATGAAACACCATATTTTAAAATAATCTATTTAAAATAATCCACTCTGGGGTGGTGTAGCGGAATCCGCACCGGGTTCTGCGTTTGATTCACGGACCGGGATGTCTTCTGTGCGGACTTAAACGGGTCGTATAGTGAGAACAAAGACGCGTCCCAATCTTACTGGCCACAGTGAATCGCTACAGTATGCTACGCACGCTCCCTGCTGTTCCATTCAGAGTGTAGTCAAAGCGAACTACACAAAGTGTTCACCCTGGACCCTCTTAGCGAGCAGTTACAGAAAAAAAAATGGATGATTCACTGTGCAACTGAGCCAGCGGAAAACGAATGGTTACACTTACGCATAGTACTCAACGGTGTACACATAGTTGGTGGGCTTAGGCTGCCACATTAGTATAGTCTTGAAATTAATTGAAGACCATGTAAGGTTTCTTGCCTTGGGAAAATCTTCGTCACCTAAGGATCACACAAAAAGCATGCAACATGAAATAAAACGTGGAAATCCAGTCTTTGAACAAGTTACTTCTGGGTACCAGTCTGAAATTGGAAGATGGAAATTGGAGTGGAATCGACAGATGGAAACAATGGAATTTTCCCCTCGAGCAAGGTTTAGCTTTCTCTCCTAAAATGCCGGCTATAGAAATGTAAATCAGTTTAGATAAAAAGAATTATCTAAATAATAACTCCCGTATTTTATCATCTTACTGTCTTCAAATTTCATTTAATGTCAAGCTACAAATAACCGTAGAGGTTAATTTCACGTTTCTGGTGTACAACAGCCGAAAAGCTGTATTTTTCTTATATTTCAACGTGGAATTAAGATTCTACTGGATTCTTTACATCTCTGAGGCAGCTTTCCGCTTTACAAAAGTGTATATACAGTATAGCTCTCATGTTTTCCGATTCCACTTAAGAAATCTTAATACAGGTCTGAGTGTGGAATAAAGAAGTCTGTTTTACTGTGTATTAAAATTTATACTTCATAATAATCACAACCTATAAATATTTTTAGCATGAACAATGCTTTGCCTACTTCCAAATAAACATGTGTACATTTTTTTTTCCCCATGCACAAAAATTAGCATGTTAAGATTAAGGTAAAACGCGGCATGTGTCCTGAAGCCACACATTTATTACACAATACATACAATACGTTCGATTAAGAAAACCGAGCGCTTACCCGAGACTTTTCCATGAAGACACAATGAGGAGACAAAAACAAGATATCCGATATAAAATAACATTTTCCTTTCAGTATCGACGTCGCCGGTGTGCAGGGTTGCAAACGCCTTTCTGATAATGGATGGCTGTCAGGGTCTGACTTGATGTCTGTCAAATGTATAGATGCAAGGCAACGATGCGTAGTATATTAGCGTCCAGCCGCGTGTAACGAAACCCTTATTGAAGTATGTTGTAAGTATACGCAACGTCCTTGCATAAACCCTTACACACCGCTCCAGCTCCGTCAACCAAGAATCATACTAGAGTGTAAGTAACTGAACGTCTTTATACAGAGTGTCCTCATGAGTCATCCAGACTTGATTGTAATCCAGCCCCCAAGTCTGACTGAGATACTATTGACATGCCTTCACACAGTGGCTGAGAACCTTGCCAAACAAAGTCTTTGCCCAAATATAGCAATCCGGATGCGGCTTTGGCAAAAGCTTGTCCGGTACCTGCAAGACGATGCGCTCAGCCCACAGGTGGAATTCGAGCAGGCGATGGTTGCAAAACGACGTATTTTCAGTGTTAAGTAACAGGGGGAATGTAGAGTTTTAAAATGGAAAATACTCTACCAGTACTAGACAGGTTAAACCTCCATTAAAAACTCAAAGGAAAGTATTTTCTCCTATTGCTTCAATAATTTCTACAGTAGTTACTGCATATATAAATGTTTTTTTTGTTTCCCTCAAGACAAAACGTGAAGGAAGCCGCAGCGATATCTCTTAAATCAGATTCTCTCTTAAAATTGATAAAAAAAAGTCGATTTATTTTAAGAATTTAATGTATAAAACAAGATTTTTTTCCAACCCACGCACGTCTTATGTTATCGCCTTTGAAATGATAAAAATGTTGGCTTCCTCAAAGTCCATGAATGTACATATTTCAGATCAATTGCAACCTGCAACTAGATTGCTTTGTGAACTTGGAAAAACTGCACCTGTCCAGCTGCTCATTTATCACAAAACCACAGATTTGTGGACTCGCTATGAATGCGGTATGCACACTTCTTGAGGACAGCATACTGTAATTGTATTCAATTTGTGAGTGACAATGCTATAGTAGTGTTTTATTCATTAACCATGGACAAACAAAGAAGTCAGACTTTTTGTAAACTATCGAAGCTGAGAGCATGTGACCTCGCAGTACGAATACCAAACGTCAAGGTACATTTAACTTGATAGTTTTAAATTATTTTACCAATTTAAATAGGCAGCTGAAAGAACCTACAGTACAGTATAAATACACTCTAGGATTCAAGGGTGTGACGTTTCACTAAACAGGTTCTTGCAAACTGGGTCATGTACTGTATTACAAGACAACTGTTAGTTCTGAAGGAGAAGAAAAAAGTTACACACCGTTTTAAGGAGAAAACTGTATTGTTGAACCCATCCCAATGCTTTAAGTACACTGAAAAAAAGTAATACTAAAGTACCATCAACTACACACTAATAATAATTTTGACATTTAAAGTTTTGTATTAATATTTAGGAAATGTGTAGGATCCAGATGTGCAAAACAAATTCTCCTCAATAAATATTGTTTGCTGTCAAAGTTTTGGCAAACTGAGACCTGCATCAGAAAATTTATGTTTGACTAAACAGATTAGCTGATTAAGTTACATTATTAATTGAAACACGTAAAATAAGTTATACAGTAGATGTTATAGTTTTAAATAATAATCATCAAATAGCACATTAAGGCATAAAGAAAATAAATCTGATATTAACACCAATAGTAAGTAAACCAACATGAATACAACAATTTAAAAATACAATAATAGTGTTTTAATAATTGCTTTGCTATAAATATAAAGTGTATTTGGTTGTAGGTCTCCATAAGCAGTCTACTGATCAATGTTTTCAAGTGAGTGTGTTTGTATTTTACTCACGGGAGTTTCCTGGGTTTCCAGTTATTAAGCGCTTTGAGAAGCCACCGTTAAAGGTGTTATAAAAAATAAAGCTTATTATTATTATTATGCTTCATAGATAAAGATGCAAGACATTTGTGATAATCATGTTCAATACTACAAGGCTCAATTCCACAAACTATGTTACATGTGACATAAAAAAATGAAATACACGTTTAACAATATTGTACCTACTTTATTTTTATCCAGACTAGTAGTATTGAAGAAGGCTCCATGGCCAAAACATTGTGTTTTCTTTCTTCTCTCTTCAGCATGGAATAAACCTATTACTTGTTAATTAAAACAAGCTTTATTCAAACATTATTTAAAACTAAAACAAATTAAAAGTAGTAAATAACATAAAATTACATAAAACATGCATTCTATATACTTTTAAACAAAAAAGGCATAGTAGAAATGTATGTATTTGTAGCCACTGATCAATCATTGTCTGGTTCTGGATTTTGTAAAAGTGATCTTTCTGTTACATTTGAAATTTAAAGATACAACAAGGTGTCAAGTTTTGCCAGCTTAGCTGTAACTTTTACAGGACACACTCCCTGAAATTCTTTTTTCCTTTTTCAAGTTGGTATCCGTCACAACTTGCTGATCGGTTGCATAGCAACACTCCTGGGAACTGAGTGCTATGGATTGTAGAAAATCTGCACTACAGTATGAACAGGAGGGGGCTGGGGTTGGGGATAGGGGAGAAACTGGTCTATTTGAAACTAAAAAAAATGAGTGTGAGAGCATATTCTGTAAGTGTTTAACACCACAGAGATGTTTCGAATGTCACTCAAAGAAGAACTATAGACGCACATTGCATTTCTATTATTGCATTTCTATTATGTACGTTAACATATTTTATCTCCTAAAATATATATTGCAGTTCTTTCCCCCACTATGTTTCATGGTATTACAGTACTGAAAATTCTGCTGTTTGTCAAGATGGTCACAATAATTAAGCCAGTCTGGCCTCTTAATAAGGAATCTATAAATGCAATATAAATTGTAATGGTATATTGTTTTTTCAGGAAGTAATGCATAGCTAATTCATTTTGAAAAAATTCTAAGGTTATTCCATAAGCTACATAGGAAATTGTCACGGTCACTGCCAACTATCAAGCTACATTACTAAAGCAAAAGGTTTAAAGTTTTGTATTCATTAAAAATATACTAGTACTAAATAATGTATAAATTAAAATACTAATTGAGGATTTCCCACAAGGTTATTAAGGGAGCAAATGGAGAAAAACTCATGAGTAAGGTTTGGTTATACTTATTTATATATTGACAAACAGTAATTGTACAATGGCTACATTTGTCCTTTAGATGCCTGTACATTATGTCCTCTGTGTCCTCTTAATGTCTGTATAAACAAAGGCACCAGGGATGATAATTTCAATCATACGGAAGTGTATGTTTTTCCTGTATACTTACAGAGAAATATGTTTTGGTCATTAACATTCTCTTCCAGTAACTGATTTGCTACTAAGTTTTATTAAGATGGTTTAGGTTTTATTTTTAACAGCACAGTACTGTTTTATCTCACGAATACATTCAAAGATGTAAACAGACTGTTAAAATTGAGAACAAGAACAACAGAAATCTCTAAAGTTTCTCATTTGAGAGGTGAGAGAATTTCATAATCTTTTTTACACTTCTGTAATCTTGCCCTTTTAACAGACACTTTTCTGATAAGGCTGTTTGCTACATGTGCCACAATGTCTGAGTTTAGCTTTACATCAGTCTGAGTTTAAGTTTGAAGTGTTAGCACATTGCCTTGATAGATGTTAGACATATTGCTGAACAATGTGCTCAACTTTAATACAGAAAGTATGACCAACCTTTTTTCCAAGCGTTATAAACCAAGAAATACCAATCTGCTTTACTCACTGGCAAACAACAGGGTAGAGTCTGAGTAAGGCATTTCAGCATTAAAAGCTTATGCTAATGAAGACTGTGTTCAGTGGTCCACACTCACATAATTGAAGAAAGTCATTTAGAAACACCCGCAAAAGGTGCAGAATTCTAATTAATGAAATAAAAGGGCTTTCATTAAAATACGAGCTGTGGAAACAATACGGACAAAAAATGGAATGTGAGAGTGTGTGTCTAGCATTTCAATGTGACTTTATCTGACAGTCTGAAACCAAAGTATTACTCAGAGTTTATTAAGCAAAGCTAACTGTTTGTAAAGTCCTTTCATCGTTTTTTATATGCACCACACGATTTGAACGCCTGATGCAGCATGTGTTAATCAGCAACTTAATTCATTTATGTATGACTTCTGAGCTAAACAAACATTCGTTTCAAAATTTTGGGTGTGACACTTGAGAAGGACTCTGTTTTTCTAAGAACATATTAAAAATGCAATTATATTGAGGAAAGCATACAAATATAGAGTTTGTCATATGTTTGAACATCTATAATGTGAAAATCATTAATATAAATATATTTATGTATACTGTATATACAGGTAAGCTTAAATAAATTTCCAAATCACAGCTGTGCTTCCACAAAATTAGAAGAAATTTAATTTAAACAGGAAATAGTGTCAAAATACAATATTTAAAGCCCTTAATTAGTCACACTACAGAGCAGGATTTACTTTTGCTGCTTGTAATTGTATTCAGGTGTTTATCTTAAATACTCTCTCTCAGGTCTGTTCCTGCTTCCCCTACTGCCTATATATAGCACAGGAATTCTGTGAGCCTAACCTCTTGGTCATTCCCAAATAAAATTGTAGTTTATTCCCAGACATTCCCACCTGATTTGTAGAATGTAATTGAATCAGTTAGAAACTAATGGTTTTAACAGAATCCCCATCAAATGAAAAGTCTCTCAGAATTAAAAACAAGATCTGTATGGAGCACTCCGTGGGCACAACATGTTTCCAGTACAAAAAAGCAGTGATTTTACACATTCAATGTGGTTTGAATTTGTAATAGAATAGCTAGAAACGAACATCAGAATGTGATTTAATAAATACAGTCCCATCATTTAACGCAAAAATGTACCATTTCACTGATCATTTCTACACAAGGAAATGGAAAAAGCTGACTTCTGATCTTGTAGTTTAATCGCAGCTGAGTGCATTGATCACAGAAAGCCCATTCTTAGCTGAGGTGATTTCTGCATTGAATCACCAGCATATTAGTTTTCTGCCTACAAAGTGCATCATAGGTCTGTATTCCAGTTCCAGGTGCACTGCTGGAAGATGAGTGTCCTGTATGGCCCAAAGAGAAAAGCCACCACAGTAGTGGACAGCTCCGGACCTAGATGGCTCTTCCCCTTTTTCATGTCTTTCCCTTGGAGCCCTGAACTGGACCCCACCATTCAGAGACTCATCCTTCGGCCCGGTCTTGTGTATACCTGTGGCAAATCCACT